TATTCAATTTTATTGGGATTTAGTGACAAATAACGGGTGGCACCAATAAGTGTCGGCCGTAGCTTGTAGTTATAATCAGAGTCTCCTGGAGGGTGAGCGAGAGTTTGTGTATAGATCTATACGGGGGTGACTCCCCCACACCTGAGTTGTTCGCTACAGTTAGACTCGACCAGTTTAGGGTGACAAAATCTTGATCAAAACTGGCATTAGGAAAAATGTCAAGACAGGCGAACTAGTCACTATTATGCATGGTTATAACGACTCACATAGAGATCCATTACCATCTAAGTACTCATGCGAAATCATATTCATACACCTTGACGATGGAAAGTGATTTATACAATAATGCAAAACTATCATACTATATAAATTGGAAAACATCGGGTTTTCCGGGGAACGACATTATTCACTTCTACATATAACAACTACAATACAAGGAACAATTATGAAAGGCATTCACTTTTACCTGTTTTGAAATCACATACATATACACTTATGGGATCATCACATCTTTTTCGTAAACAGTTTTTCTTACAAAAAATATCAAATTTTCTGGGATTTTACAAACAATACAAACTAATTTTTTTATATCAAACGTGCTTATGAACTCACCAACATTATATATGTTGACCGTTTTCAAAATAACTTGTATTCTCAGATAACCGTTAGAATGAAAAATCATCACGCGTGTTTCTGAAATTTCTTTTGTGCAATGTCAATCGTTAAACAATTTATGTTCTGTGATTTTGTAATGTAAACAATGTACTTGATGTGAACAAGGTCAGTTGTAATGTATTAATGCATGGTGATGTTTATGTTATGTTTCATGTATATTCATTGTGATGATATTTCAATTTAAGTCACACGAGCCCTCGGGCGTTTCCGCCGTCTGGTTCGGGGGTGTCACATACAACAACCATGTATTGATAAAGTGTAAGTATAAACACTTAGACAGAATCACTTCATGGAATTTATCCACACACGCTCCTTCAGACGGGTTCATTCTCTTTTGTTAATATATTACCTAGACAGAATCACTTCATGGAATTTGATTGGTTGATTTTCACTGTAATAGATAGTACTCGTAACTCCTGAGTCCCCTCACTATGTCATAAGTTAGACGTTCCTATGGCAGATATCCTCGAGTGTAGATATCGTTGAGTCAGAAATCCCCAGACGTAGAAGTCTCTAAGAGAAACCTCTGAGTATAGAATCCTTGCTTATGCATCCAATCCATAAGTCCTCAAGCGTTTTCATGGGAATTGTAGTTAATCTATGTTTTCCCCACCAAATACAATTGGTTTATGTTGTTCGTATCTCTTCTTTACAATCGGTTCATCTACAAGAGTGCTAGTTATTGGATTCTTCTTTTATTTGATAACTTATGATTGTTTTGGGAATATTTCAGATCCATGATTTAAGGGGAAAAACATAATTTGTTATTTGGGGTTTATTGATTCACCTCGTCAGAAGTGGGGTTTGATTCGATTGTGATCTTCGTCAAAGAAATTTTGTGATAACGTGATTAGTTATGTTTTGGGTTGGTGTCACATCTTCAATTTGGTACTTTCCAGATGCAGTTTTGATACCGATTTAATGCAATTTTTGCATCGATATTATTCCATATGTCGTTCTTGTTATGAATTTCAATACATCTAGCATAAATTCTTTTAAACAACTTCAAATCGTTAACCATGTTTAATTGAAAAGCAATCCTTCTCAAGTTTTTCCTTTTTTTCTAATTGTCTAGTTCAACTTTGAAGGGAAAAGAGAAGATAGAGAATGGGAAAAATGAAGATAAAACAATGGGTTCAATACTTTAAAGGCTCCATGTGAATGATACTAAAAAAAAGGAGGTGCTTGGTGCTCCTCCTAGTAGGACTTCGCCTTCAAATTCTCTCCATCTTGGACTAGAAGATAACATTTTCAAGAGTCATTAAACTTGAACATCTTTCTTGTTTACTTGCAAAATAAATGCAAAGCCTCTAGAAGAATTTCTTCATCTCTTTGATTGTTTCTCATTTGGGTTTTTAGGTTGTTGTACAATCCGTTCATCTTCAGAACACATCTCGCAATTTCTCGAAACTTTGAATTAATTTGGTGTTTAGTACGGTAGTCATCACATTCACCCAAATCCTTGTGAAACGTTTCAAGAATGTGTATCCAGAAATGATCATGCGTTTGTGCATTTCGTTACTTTGAATCCTCCTAAATATGATCCAAGAATGTGTCAACACTAACTCTTCTGTTGTAGTGCATGCTTGAGGCTTGGACTTTTTATTCTCTTCCACCGGTTGTTTTTCTCTGCGAAGTGGATGGGTGGGGGTAGAGTTTCTCATGCAACTTCGACGTCCGAGTCATCGAGGCTTTGGTTTTTTAGTGGTAGGGTGGGGTTTGTGTAACATCCCAAAAATCAAGGCAAAAGTTTTCATTTTTAAATCAAGTAAAATCATTGTTTTCAGATACCATCCAAATCAAAACCATTCATTTACAAAACATTGTCTCAAAAATAGAAATCAAATATCAAAGTGTCCCCAAATCAGTATCATCAAAACCAAGAGGATATGCACGATTACTCCTTCGCCTTGTCCCGATCATCTGAAGTAACATAAAACTGAAACTGTAAGCACGAAGTTTAGTGAGTTCCCCCAAAGTACCACTACACAAACAGATAACATATACAATCATACATGTTGGATCCAGAACCTCCTGGTTGGATTACCCTGGCCCACAACCTCCCGGTTGGATTGCCATACATACCGCATACTGGATCCACCACCTCCCGGTTGGATTACCATGGCCAGCAACCTCCTGGTTGGATTACCCTAGCCCACAACCTCCCGGTTAGATTGCCCGGGTTTGTTGACTGACAACACAAAGCAGTCCAGTATCAACCCCATCATACTATGTCAACATATACATAATAGATAACATAAGCACATCAAACAGCTAATCACATAACCAGTCAACAGACTAACAGGCAGATATACAGGTCACCATCGCATGCTACATCCTATATATACCAGGATACCGATTTAACAGATCACTACAACATAGCATCATCCTTAATACTAGGATACAAAATCTAGTGAGACGACATTGGTGCCTTCGACCCACGTGTATATTGAGGAAAACTCACCTCGATATACGCGTAGGTCACCATAGTTGTAACAAATAACTTCACTAGCTTCAATTCACTTCCAATCACCTACAGGAAGATGCTTCAGTCAATACCCGATCACCGATCATAGTCACTTTCAACAATGACTACCTCACATGAAATGATGATTAGGTTTAAGTGAGGACACTTAACCCATTAAGGATTTAACCACCTTATAACATCACCAACTTATGGTGTGACCTAGTCAATCTCGGGTATAATTATAATCCAAGCAATAGTCCAAATACACGTCTCAAACTTGTGCCCAAAACTAGAGTTTATGATATTATGTTTGTTTCTAAATCCAAATTAGGGTTTATTGTTTCAAGGGTCCAGCTCGACAAATAAAACCCATTGCCACCCCGAGCAGTGGCGGTCCGAGGCGGTGGAAAGGCGACAGGAACCACCTCACGGAGGTGGTGGTGGCTTTGAGTTAGAATTCGACCAAACAAACTCCTACCACACCAATCATGCAAAAAACACATACACGCAAAATAATACACATACACAGCCACCTAATGCGGTGGCTGGTGGTGGCAGAAGGCGGCTGCAAGGTGACAGCCAGCATGGTTGGCTGTTATAGTGGTTTTCTTCTAGTTTTTTTGACAAACTAACACGCATATAACGAGCAACAAACACTGTAGTACACACATACATGTGAAACACACACATGAATGCGCACGCAACATGATAGAGTTAAAAAGACCGATAGATTCTATATTATAAAATGAAGTATGAAATGAATCAAAGACTTGGAATGATAATGATTGAAAAGAGTTGGATCTTCATTCACTTAGCATTATAAAAATTCATTTACAAGTTCAGAACTATTCTTTCAATGCTAAGCAAAGACTACAGAAAAAGACAACTACAGAACGCTATATATAGACATAAAGTTCCGAAAATGGGTATGTCTATTTTCGGAATCGGAACTAGACAAAATTATGAAAATAGCTACTTTGACACAACACCAATAATGACATGACAATCTCCCCCTTTGTGTCAAATCGGAATGATGTAGAATTTATTGCTTCTGATCTTTAATAATCTTCGCCATAATCTTCAGAATGGATCCACGGACAGAAAGATACCAGCGGATCAGATCGGAAACACATTTGACATCGGCAACAAAATTGGATTTGTTTACTTCGGCCGAAGATAAGACTGTTTTCAGAGAAATTGTTGAGTACAAGTGTTTATCCCTCAGAAAGAACATGCAGTTCTTAATCACTTCTCCTTCCTTCTTCTTGTAGACAATGATCATGCATTTCTTGTTAATCAATCCTCCCTTCAGATTTTCAATGTTTTGGGGTTGATCAGCAGGCTTCAATATAGGTTTTCTTTTCAGAACTGAAGCAATTTCAACATCCATCTTCGCCATCTCCACGATATAACATTTAATTATCCTCCTCAAATGTTCATAAATTGGCTCGAACTTCTTCTCATCCTTTGCAACAATGTAGAATAACAAAATCCAATCATAGGTTGCAGATCAGCCAATGTGAACTCATGAAGAATATGAGTATGACCTTGGAATCCTTTGAATTGAATGGTTAGAAAGTATTCTATTTGAACAGGTAGTCCAACATTCAGAGCCACGATTCTGTTCAGACTCCATAAATCGTACTGAGGTTTCGCATATTTCAGATAAAATGAGAAGAGCATTTTTTTTTGCGTTGTTGGAGATTAAGGATTTTTCTATCTTCTCAAAACCTCTGAAGAGAAATGCCCTTGGTGTGATCGGTAAATTGAGCTGACACTCTATTTCATTCTTGATGTCAAAAGAGGTTTTTGGTTCCAACCAAAAAGTGTTTGGCTCATCAATAGCTTCCTTCTGTATTTATTCAAGAGTCCAGGCCGGAAATAAAGCTTTCTTATTCTCAAGAATCATTTCTGAATTCCTGGCTTCGGCCTCCTCAACATCTAGCTTTTGCCTGAGGGCATTGAGTTTATCAAGTTCCCTATACATCTTCTCTCTTTCAACTTTTTCTTTCTGATTCAATGTCAGATCTTCCTCAGTAACTTTTTCCAAATTGATGTTGACTCTTCCCTTTCCAGATCCTGAGGATACATGGTCCCTCCGACCAGTCTTGACCTCCTTGATATTCTTGAATTTTTCTTCCAGAGTTCTCTTTTCCAACTTGATTGAATCAGCATCACTGATTTTCTTCATAAAGCCCATCTGATGTGGATTGTCAATGTTTACCTCTAGTTCTTCCCCTTGTTGCGAAGAAGCCATGCTTCTTGTAACAATTTTAATCTCGTTAAGACTCTCAAACACCAGCTTAAGCTTCGGTTAGGACATTATTTAGGTGGTTTATACTTTACTTTATACAACATTGTGTGTTCTCGGTTTTGGACCGAGAACAGGCAGATTTCAGTTGTGTCTGGACTGAAATCCCAAAGGGATTTCGGTGGGCCTTAATAGATTTTGGTGTGTGGGTTGGGCTTTGCATTAGGGTTTAGGTTCAGCTATAAATAGTTGCTCCTCAGTTCTTTGTAAAGGTTGTTAATTCGGAATTAAGAGGGAGCTAGAGAGAACCGAGAGTTTGTGAAATTTCATTGTACCTGACTATTATCGAATATAGTGTGCATTGAGATTATTCATCTGTGTCCTTAATCGATTTATTGCTAGTTAACTTGAATGGGATTCCGCACCAATTGAGTTATTTTTTATTGATATACAAGTTGGGTTTTACAATTAATATCAGAGCTTGCGTTAGTATCAATCAAATAGCATTAAAATAACCTTAGCTTTGAGTTTTTGAAGTTTTTGGACTGTTTTTTGGATGAAAAATTGCAGTTGTGTTCTTCGTGTTCATCGGAAATCAAAATCTAATTGTTTTTGGTCTGGGGGTTTTCGTTCTCGACGGTTGGATTCAGTTTCTCGGTGAGATTAACATAATTCTGATTTATGGTTCTCGGTCAGAAGAGATCTCGGTAACTAGTCATATTTCTCGGTTTGATGTAGTCTTCGGTCACACTTCTCGGTTGCAGTTTTCGGTATACAGATTTTTCGGTTAGGCTTGTGACATTTTGGTCAGAGTTTGACTTTCTGGTGTTTTCTGTCAAACTTTGTAATTTTGGTCAAACAATTTAACTTTTCGGTTTATAATGGACTCCTACAACTCTTCTCTTTCTACAATGCAAAGTGATATTGACTCTGTTACAAGAACTACAACTCGAATTCCCCGGTTGCTGACTGCTGATGGATTTCCTGAATGGAAATTCAGATTTGAAAAGTATATTAAAATGAAGGATATCAAAGTGTGGAGAAGCTTTCTAAGAGGCCCAGTCAAGATCACAACCACTTTGGATGATGAAGCTAAAACTGTGGTCGACAAGCCAATCGAGGATTATACCAATGAGGACTTTGATGAGATTAAGGATGATGAAAAGGCACTGGCTATTCTTACAATGGCTTTGTCTCCTGACATTGCTCAAGGTTTCAGGGAATATAAATCTGCTAAGGCTTTATGGGAAGCCTTGATTGAAGTATGAAGACAATGAAGATATGAAGCAAAGCAGAAAGGATTTACTTCGTTAGAGATTCAACATGTTCAATCATGTTCATGGGGAGACTCTGGAAGCCCAGTTGCAGCGTTTTATTACTCTCAACACATAAATGAGTAAATGGAGGAAATGAGAAGGCTTACGATAATGAATGATACCTATCGAAGGATATCATAATAGTGGTATCTTGCTTTTAGAATACGTCTGATAAAATAACATTACATATAGAGGAGTATGGTACGTCCGAATGTACATGTGATTGGCGGGATGATAGAATGATTGTTGTAATTCCTAAAGTTGTCGTATCGTCTGGCATGTCCACCACCAACTGAGTTGAAGCAGAATTGATGATTGAAGTTACGCATTGAATAAGTCCTAGTAGAATCTAAGGAAATTTTTATGATTATTTAGACACATTCGTATGTGTTAAATGACTATGTGAAATTCTTGTATGGTGACTTGGAGAACTGAGATGAAATACTTGGGACGAGTATGAGTAGATGTGAAAGGTAGTAGAGGCCTATACTACCGGAAGCACAAGACTCGCACTTGGATCGGGGAAAGTCACAAGGTTACCAAGGAGCTAGTTATTGATTCCATTTTGTTCATGTCTTTCATTACCATTGTTTCGGTAATAACTAAGAAGATGATTATTATTCTGACCCTAGTGGTCATATCATATCGAGTCCGACTAAGATATTGATAACGTCATATATATACATGTTTTTAGGCAATATTTACTTATATTTTTATTAATATTTTGGTTATTTCCATTGAATAATTGTACTTATGAGGATAAATTGTTCTTTGCAGCCAAGTAGAAGCATTTTTGAGAAAAGGACTAAAAATGACAAAACATGGAACTTTGGTGGCTTGGAGAATAAAATAAGAAAGAAGCTTACGTAATCTGCTGACTTCACGTCGTGAGGCTTATAGATTCACGACGTGAACACAAATCTTCCAGAAGATAGACATCGCGAAGAAGAGTTCTTAGCCAACACGGAAATCTACTATTCACGTCGTGAGACTTATCTATTCACGACGTGAGTTCGGAAAAATCAGAAACTATATATACTCTTGCTCATTATGAATTGAGGGACTTTTGGCTTCCTTGAGGGTTCCTGGAGACGATTTTCAGAAGGAAAAAAGTTCTGGAATCGGCTATTAGCATCTAAGGGGAGGAGAAGTTCATATTAGTTTAAGAATTTGGTACACTTTAAACATGTCTTTGAATATGAGTTAGTTGTGTTTGTTAGCTAGTATGTCCAACTAAATCCAGCTGCTTCGGTTAGCTAGATGAAGCTGGAACTCATGGTGTAATACTTTAGATTTGACTTGACTTATCGGTTATGACTTGTGTTTGATTGATTGAACCTAGCATGTTTGATTTGATATTTGATTGCTTTAAATTCTTGTTCTGTGTAGTTAGTGAATATGAATCTGCATGAATTTGAATACCTAATAATTCATTGAACACTAGGTTATTAGAGCTAGGATCAAACCAATTCTAGATAAGCAATTGAGTTATTAAAATTAGGTTGTGCTAGAGAACTCATATTATGATCATAATTGTGTTTTGTTAATCAATCTTACATAGCTCTAATTCCATTTAATAATTGATTATGTGTTAGCTACTGTGTGACCATACATAGATTTACATGAATTAATTAAAGTTATTAGATTTAGAACTAAATTGCTAATGCTATCTTAATTGGTAACCAACAGTAATTGTCATAGCTAATCTATAAACCTTTGAGGGAAAGCGGATTCGAACTAGCAGAAGTGTTTTGTTTACTGATTGAATATGTGTTAAAAAATTAAGTTCATCTAAACTTTCAAAATTAGATAAATCCCCTTTCTCTGTTAGTAATTAGGTTAATTTAGAAGTAGATAGATTAATTAGTCAAAACTGTTCCCAGTGATCGACACCCGACATACCCGACTATTCTATAATTTGACTAGGTACACTGCCTAGGTGCAATTTAGTTAGTGTAGTTAGTTTGTTTATAAATATAAAATAAGGTGTAGCTATTTGCACGCATCAAGTTTTTGGTGCCGTTGCCGGGGAACGGCTTAATTGTTAGTTGATTTATTTGCTTTAGATTAATCGATCCTTTTAGTGGGGTAAAACCTGCAAAAAGGTACTTTTTCAGCTTAATTTTTTTTCCAGTACCTAACTCACGACGTGAGCCTTAAGCTCACGACGTGAGTTCAGTAGATTTTTCGTTTTCTTCGTTTTTCTTTTCTGTTAAATTTTCTGCGACAACACGAGGTGGTGATCTTTACCACGTCGTGGTGACCAGTCAGTAGGCTATTTTTAGTTGATTTTGGTTCAGTTTTACGTTTTTATATTTGTTTTATTGTAGAAGTTCATGACCAGAGGTTCCAACACACCTTTGGTGCCACCACTTGAAGATCCAGAGTCAGCCCTTCACAAGAAGACAGATAAGAGCACAGAAGTGAACCAAACCCCAAAGAATAAACCTTTCCAAGATCTCAAATCTGTCTTTACAAAGAAGTTCGGAAAGAAAACAGGAGAGTCGAGTTCATCTTCAAAGGACAAGAGCAAGATAGAAACCTTAGATTAAAAACGTATTCCATCCGAATCCGAATACGAATCCGAGGCCGAGTTTGGACTGTATATGAGTGAACCCGAGAACGAGCCAGAAAACGAGATGGCGAATAGTGAAGAGATGTCAATGGGAGCTTACAAGAAGAGAATTCGAGACGATGTTGGTCCAGGGTTAGTACAACTCACGATTCCTGCTACTGCCACATTCGAGCTGAAGGGACACATCCTTAATGCACTTAAGGATGTTCCATTTTATGGAAAATATCATGAGGATGCTTTTAAGCATCTAGATGAGGTCAATGACATTGCAGATTATTTCAATGTCCTGAATGTTAATAGAGATACCGTCTTGCTAAGGATGCTTCCCGTTACTTTTAAAGGAGTTGCGAAAGATTGGTTAAAAGCACTTCCACCTGGTAGAATCACTACTTGGGCTCAGATGCGCGAACAGTTTTTAGACCAATTTTGCCCACCATCCAAGATAGCTAACCTCAAAAAGGCGATAACTAATTTTGAGCAACAGCCAGGGGAGTCGCTTTACGAGGCATGGGAGCGCTACAAAGGGTTGCTAAGGAATTGTCCTCAACATGAACTTAACATTCAACAAGAGGTGTTCATATTTTATGACGGGGTCAATGTTATGACAAGGGAACTCCTTGATTCTCAAGGGCCACTAACAAGGAAAAATCCAAGGGAGGTTAAGGAGTTAGTTGAAGAATTTGGAAAGCATTCTTGTGAGTACCATAATCCAAGAAATGAGGGAGTTAAAGGATGTGGGGTTGGAAATTCTGCAGACATGGCTGTTGTAATGGCCATGCTTGATACAATGGACAGGAGAATGACAAAAATGGACCAATCAATTCATTCTATAAGAGTTGGATGTGAAAGGTGTAATGGTCCACACTTGACTAAGGATTGCAACTTGGATGAATATGGGAACAAGAAGGCTCTAGTTTGCTACTCGAGTGGGGATAAGTATGATGAAGATTGGAGAAAACCAAAGAAGGAGTGGCTGCCGTATGATGAATACAAGAAGCAAAAGGAAGAGAAATATAAGCAGACAGGCCGAGGCTTCTACCAAAAAGAGCAACCATCAGTCGAGAAGAAAGTAAACTTGGAAAACATTTTGACCCGATTTATGGAAGCTTCCGAGA